AAGAATTGATGCTTTTGAACTGTGGTATTGGAGAAGACTCTTGAGAGTCCCTTGGACTGCAAGGAGATCCAACCAGTCCATCCTAAAGGAGATCAGTCCTGGGTGTTCACTGGAAGGACTGATGCTGAAGCTGAAACTGCAATACTTTGGCCACTTCATGCGAAGAGCTGACTCATTTGAAAAGACCCTGATGCTGGAAAAAATTGAGGGCAGGAGGAGAAGGGGATGACAGAGGATAAGATGATAGGATGGCATCACTGACTCAATGGACATGGGTTTGGGTGGACTCCGGGAGTTGGTGATGGACAGGGAGGCCTGGCGTGCTGTGGTTCATGGAGTCAGAAAGAGTCAGACACGACTGAGCGACTGAACTGAACAGTGAAGGAGACCCGGGTTCTATAAGTAAAACATGATCACTTCAACAAGAGATTTATTCACACTGCAACAAATACATTTAGCTCTTTCATTTTCTCTGCCTTAAAATCTCAGCAAATGAGTATTTTAAAATTTATTCAGCAATTCATTGATTGACACTTTATGTTTCCAATTCTGTGGCATTACCAGCAGTACCAAAATAATATACATGCACATGTCTTTTTGTATGCACGTGTAAGAAATCCTTTTGTGTTTATACCTAGAGTAGAATTCTTCAACCTTACTAAAATGCCAATTCATTTCCAAAATGGTTGCAACAGATTCCATTTCCATCAGCTGAGTACAGGTGCCCAACCTCCTCCCCAACATGCATTAAACTTTTAAGCTCATGCCAATCTCATAGATGAGAAAACAATATCACAGTATTGTTTTATGCATTTCCCTAATTGCTCAGGAAGCATCTTTTCATATTTCCCCTCTGTATGAATTTCCTGTTTACGTCTTCTGCCATTTTAACTTGAGTTGGTTTTTTAAAGTGTATGTTGCTGCTGCTGCTAAGTTGCTTCAGTCGTGTCCGACTCTGTGTGACCCCATAGACGGCAGCCCATTAGGCTCCCCCGTCCCTGGGATTCTCCAGGCATGAACACTGGAGTGGGTTGCCATTTCCTTCTCCAATGCGTGGAAGTGAAAAGTGAAAGTGAAGTCACTCAGTTGTGTCCGTCTCTTCGTGACCGCATGGACTGCAGACTACCAGGCTCCTCTGTCCATGGGATTTTCCAGGCAAGGGTACTGAAGTGGGTTGCCATTGCCTTCTCTGTTAAAAATGTATAATGTGAGGTAAAGGTTTGATTTCATTCCTCTGCACATGGATGTCCAGTATTCCCAACGCCATTTTTTTTTTAATGGCCACACCATGCGGCAAAGGGGATCCTGTTTCCCAACCAGGAATCAAACCTGCGTCTCCTGCATTGGAAGTGTGGAGTCTTAACCACTGGACCACCGGAGAAGTCCTCCCAACATCAGTTATTGAAGAGACTATCCTATTCCCATTGTGTGTTCTGAGCACTCTTATTGAACATACGTTGCCCATATATAAATATAAAATATATGACCATATATTTATTTGGGGGCTCTCTATTCTGTTCCATTGGTCTACACATCTGTTCTTATGCCAGCACCATATTATTTTGATTATTGTAGCTTGTAATTTTTTTTTTTTAAATCAGGAAGTGATACTTTCAGTTTTATCCTTTCTCAAGACTGCTTTGGCTATTTGAAGTTTTATACAGTTATGTACTGTTTATACAATTGTGCACTAATATAAGAGGAAAAAGAGGTGCCCAATTAAATTAAACTTTATGCATTATTGGATGTCTGCCTTTGGAATGGTATTATTACATACTTAGAAAACTTATGCTATGAATGACAATATGACCCTTCAGCTCAGCTGCTCAGTCGTGTCCAACTCTTTGTGACCCCATGAATCGCCGCACGCCAGGCCTCCCTGTCCATCACCAACTCCCAGAGTTTACTCAAACTCATGTCCATCGAGTTGGTGATGCCTTCCAGCCATCTCATCCTCTGTGGTCTCCTTCTCTTCCTGCCCCCAACCCCTCCCAGAATCAGGGTCTTTTCAAATGAGTCAGTTCTTCGCATCAGGTGGCCAAAGTTTGGAGTTTCAGCTTCAACATCAGTCCTTCCAGTGAACACCCAGGACTGATCTCCTTTAGGATGGACTGGTTGGATCTCCTTGCAGTCCAAGGGACTCTCAAGAGTCTTCTCCAACACCACAGTTCAAAAGCATCAATTCTTCAGTGCCCAGCTTTCTTCATAGTCCAACTCTCACATCTATACATGACTATTGGAAAAACCACAGCCTTGATTAGACGGACCTTTGTTGGCAAAGTAATGTCTCTGCTTTTTATATGCTATCTAGGTTGGTCATAACCTTCCTTCCAAGGACTAAGTGTCTTTTAATTTCATGGCTGCAATCACCATCTGCAGTGATTTTGGAGCCCCCCAAATTAAAGCCTGACACTGTTTCCACTATTTCCCCATCTATTTCCCATGAAGTGATGGGACCAGATGTCATCTTAGTTTTCTGAATGCTGAGCTTTAAGCCAAATTTTTCACTCTCATCAAGAGGCTTTTTAGTTCCTCTTCACGATCCTTACCCTTCTCTAATTATAAGGAATAATTTATGAGACATTAACCAGGTCCATAGCTTTGTAAAGATTTATGGGTTAAGATTCAAGAAAAATGCAAGCTTTGGGATTAAAGTTAGGGGTTCAAATTCTAAACAGCTTTCTCTAGACATATGACCCAGAACAAACAAGCCTGTTATGTACAATGTCATGCTAAGGAGGAGGGATAATACAAGGAAAGTGTTTGGCTCATAGAAGGTACTCAATAAAACTTGACTATTAGTTACAGACACTGTAACAGTAAAGAGCGCAAAAATCCTAATCAAAACCCATGGGTAGTCTCATTTGGCCAATTACTTCTATCAGGAACCCTATCTCTTTGAGTTTGCTTCCTCATGTGTAAAATGAGCACAACAGCTGTGTTACTCACCTTAAAATATCATTTAGAGGATCAAATATCTTACACGTTAAGTGCTTGGGAATTACAAGGCATTTTTACGATCTAAACGCTAAAACATTTCTCTGGTAGTGATTTTTGATGAGTATCTTTTAAAATTGCAATGCCTATTTCCTTGTCTTATTGCCAGCTCCTCAAAACAGCAATTAATCTATATTATTTTGGTCATTCAAACGTATAGTTACTATTCATTCAAGAAATACTGTCCATTGCCTAGAGAGAGCACAGGTGCACAGCAAATGTGTGATTAAAAAAAACCCCACAATTCTAAGTCTTTGGCTAATTTAAATTCTAGACTTTGATGGATGCATCAACAAACTCAACCTCTTCTTCGTTTGGATTTTTGTAAAAAAATATATATCTATATCTATATATATATACACACACACATATATTTATTATTTATCTCTTGCGTAAATTTTATTTACTTTAGCTGTGCTCCACATAGTTAATAATCATCCATAGTATGATAACAATCCGATTACATCAGCTACCTATTAAATCAGTTAATACCAGCTGATCTGGGCAATTTGGCAACGTACGTTGTACAATCAAACCTAAACGATTCTATTGATTCTAAAAAAAACCTGCAACGCTCCAGGTAGCCATCACTGTTCACAATTCCCACTTAGGGACAAGATTACGCAAAGCTCTATTTTTGTTAGCGTCCTTACTCTAGCTGGATATCCACGAAGGGAACCAGGTACAGCGCGCCAGGCTTTCATTTAGGAACACGTGCAGGTGGTAAGAGTTGGCAGGAAGTGTTTGGGTCAGTGCTTCTTTCCCCACCGCATAATTCCAACGGAAAGACAACTGCCCCTTGGCTTCTCATTGGCCAAGTGAGCGGAGACGAGGGAGGAAACCGGGCAGAAGACTAGGTCTTGCAACAGGTGCCTTAACCCCGGGATTTGGCGCCCCCGGCTATCCAATCAGCGCCGAGTACTGCGTTCCTCCACGATCTTCCTCATTCAGTAGAGCCCTCTATCTGCCACCAAAATGAACGAATCCCCACACATTACATTGCTACACAAGCCACGCTTGCATTCATGACTTCATTCACGCTCCTCAACAGCCCAGGGATACAAGTATTATTTTTATTTCTCAGAAGATGGAACTGCACCTGAGCTTCAGGGCCCGTGCCCTGCAAGGCAGATGCGCGAATCCGGAGCTGGGACCACTCCTTCGGGAAGAAGGACTTTGATCCGACGGCCACTGCCGTCACCTCCCCAGCCCGGAGCTCCCGGAGAAGCCGCCTGACTCGGGTTCTCAGACGGCGACTACCTTCCCTCGCGGCCCATCGAGCCGTAACCAGCCGCCATTCACCCGACTTCCCAAACCAGGAAAACCCCCGCCAAGAGCCCGCGCGTCCCGGCTTGTAACCCGCAGAGTGCACAGGGCGAGGCCGCGCGTCTGCAGTCACCCCATGAGTTGTTACCCACGAACCCGGATCGGGCACTGAGTGGCTGGCTAATCCTGGCTCCCAGAGCCCGCCCGACCTCCGTCACCAGGGAAGCTCCCATCCGCCACCGGACCCGCCCCTGCGCCCACAAGCCGCTCTAGCCGTGCACGGAGCCGGCACTCTCGTTGCTCCCGGCCTGACGTCATCGCCGGGCGCCGCGACGAAGTGGCGGGCACGCGCAGCCAAGAAGATGTCTCCGACGCCGCCGCTCTTCAGTTTGCCCGAAGCGCGGACGCGGTTTACGGTGAGTTGCGGGCGGGTGGGCGCGGCCCCGGCCGAACGCTATGTGTTGCTTTCCTCTCCCTGAAATTACTCGAATTTAGCACTGGAGTAAAGCGGGGACAGAGGCGTTGCGCCTCGGCAACGGGTTCCCGGCCCCGTCGTGGGCTGGGGAGGCGATAAAGGCGCCCTACCTGCCTCTTCCACGAGTCCTCTGCGGTCCGCCTCCTCCTTTCCGCCAGCGGGTCCCGGGACCCTGCGACCTGAGTGGAGGGCTCACCCGCAGACTACCTCTGGGTCCTGCTCCTCTGCGGTGCTCGCTTAGCCAGGCAGGTGTTTCCAGAACTGGCAGGGGGCTGCTCTAGAGGGAAGGCGGGAATGGTTTTAGTCCAGAGAACCGGCTCCCGTCCCGCTTCCTAACTGCCAGGTGGTTCTCGCCGCTTATTCATCACCCTTTAACCCTTTGTATCTCACTCCTTAGAGATCGTTGAGGACGGTCCTAAGTGGGGCGAGGCAAACTGATCAGCTTGGGAAGGGGTGTCAGCTGTCATTTTATTCTTCCGCCTTGGGGAACAGTAATTTAAGCATTTGGGGAAACACTTTACAGACCGTTTTGATGTTAGCTTATTTAACTCAAAATAGCCCTGTGAAGTAGGGTGTTTAATTATCCGCAGTAGATGAGATAGAAACTGAGACAGCCCGCCCCCCAGCCCCCGCCTTTGTTGTTGTTCAGTCGCTAAGTTGTGTCCGACCCTTTGCGACCTCATGGACTGCAGCATGCCAGTCTTCTCTGCCCTTCACCATGTCCCGGAGCAGGCTCAAACTCATGTCCATTGAGTCGGTGATGCCACCCAACCATCTCGTCCTCTGTCACACCCTTCTTCTGCCTTCAGTCTTTCCCAGCATCAGGGTCTTTTCCAGTGAGTCAGCTCTTCGCATCAGGTGGCCAAAGTTTGGAGCTTCAGCATCAGTCCTTCCAAAGAATATTTAGGGTTGATTTCCTTTAGGTTGACTGCTTTCATCTCCTTGCAGTCCAAGGGACTCTCCGGAGTCTTCTCCAGTACCACAGTTTGAAAGCATAAAAGTTAAATGATTTCCTTCACTGTTTTTCCTGACTTCAGACTTAGTATTCTTTTTATGTTGCCCATCACCAAATGAAGAACCTTGTTCTAAGTCGTTTGACTGTATTCGTCCCTAATTTTCTGAAATTCTGTGAGGAGAAATTGTTAGGTGTATCCAAGGTCCTATCAGTCCTGGAAGGGACCGTTTAATAGATCATCCACCCCGGTGCTTCTTAAGATTGAGCATGGGTTGGGATCACCTGGAGATCTTGTTAAATGAGATTCTGGTTCAGTAGGAATGGGGCCTGAGAGTCTGCATTTCTAACAAGTTCTCAGGTAATGCCACTGCTGCTGGTGGTAATAAGGATCTACAACAATCCATATATGTAACTGGTGAGGAAAATGAATCACAGGGACAAAGGGGTATGCTCTAGATTATGAACGTCCCAGGTGGTGCAGTGATCAAGAATCCGCCTGCCAGTGCAGGAGGCGAAGGAGACGTGGGTTCATTGCCCAGGTGGGGAAGATCCCCTGGAGAAGGGAATGACAACCCGCTCCAGTATTCTTGCCAGGAGAATCCCATGAACAGAGGAGCCTGGCGGGGTACAGTCCATGAGGTCACGAAAAGTCAGACACCACTGAACTTGCATGCACCAAGATTACACAGCCTATTCACAGAGCCAGGAATGGACCATTTCCAGTATAAATGTAACTCCTGTGAGGTAACAAGGTGATTTTCTAAGTGTATGTGAATTTTCACAGAGTGAATGACTTGGCAGTATTTTTCCTTTCCACTTACGTCTACTTTGTGACAGTCAGCAGGTTTAGTACTTTAAGACATCAGTGTTTACTTGATGTCAGGGACTGCTGTGCAACTACCTAGAGGAGGTAGGACTTTTGTTGGGTCTTGAAGAATGGATAGAATTTGCATGAGCATGTGGGAAGAACAATGTGCATGGATACAGTAGAGTGAACTTGATAGAAAATGATGGAAAAATGGCTAGAGCCTAGTGGACAGTATGTGTTTGGGGTTACTGGGAAATAAGGTTGGATAGATTGAGTGGGATAACATTATTAAGGACCTTTAGAGGAAGCTGTGAAACAAAACCTGTAAATAAGGGGCCATTTTTAAAGCAGAATGAATAGCATATTTAAACGAAAGGTAGGAGGGAAAACCTGGAATGAGAAAACTGAGCTTGGAAGCTCTCGACAAGCTTCAAGTGATGAGTAAGTAGCATTTGAATGAGAATTACTGCTGAAATGACTGACAAGTAATTTTTCTCAGAAACATTTTTTAGTTAGACATACAATTAATGAGTGGTGTGTTTTTCAGTGAACAAAAAACTCTTTCAACTTATGTGCTTTTTTTTTTTTCTTCTAGAAATCTACGAGAGAGGCCCTGAACAACAAAAATATCAAGCCCTTGTTGAATACCTTTAGCCAGTTACCTGGCAGGTAAGGCATTAATATCCATGACATGGGCTTATTGAAATCTTTATACTTACCCTGAGCTGTTTTAAAAATGCAGGTGTTTTTTGTTTTTAATAGTGAAAATGAAAAAAAATGTACCCTTGACCAGGCTTTTAGAGGTGTTCTAGAAGAAGAAATTGTAAGTATGTTTTTCCTTTATTTATTGTTAAAATTTTGCTGGCAGATTAGTAAATATTATTTTTTCATTTGCTTTTATTCTTAGGATAGATATTTAACTATGACTTTTTTTCTGGAGTGAACTTCTTAGTCTGTGAAACCTAACTTGGTCATAGTCAGCATAGGAGTTACATAATGAATAAGGGTTTTGATAGCATAGGTGCAATTTAAAAGTTTGGTTTAATAAATTAGCAGAGCCCTCTGCCATTGAATATGTATAAGGAAAGTTGACATGAGGTCTTCCTGAGCAAGAACTAGAACTTGAAGATGGGCCCTGTCTTTGCTGTGTAAACAGCGACACATCCTGGAGTGGAGGAGAAGTCTAGTCCAAGGATGTTCAGCACGGATTCCAGGCCCTCATTTTCCTTATCAGCATCCTCCTTCTCAGTTAGTAATAGATAACAAGAGCCTATCCAACTTCAGTACAGAAATTTAAACGTGAAAAATCTGACTTTGTGTACCATTAGTGGAACACCCAAATGAAAGGAAAAGTTCCAACAGCTTATTCTTCATTTAGCAAAGCTTGGATCCCAAGAAGCTAGATTCTTTTCCAGAGGCCATAAAACAGTGTCCCTTTCTTTAGGATAGTTCTATATTCATTCTTTCCTTTTCTTCAGACCTAATCACCTGTTGTTAGGCGTTGAGCAAGGTTACCTTGCTTTTTTGAGCCTCAGTTTCGTTTGTAAGAGAGGAAACACCATTTTTTCGGGGTTGCGTAAAACGGCACTTAATAAACACTCAATAAATGCTGTTTTTTTATGATGTTATCAAACCTAAGCATCATCTCTCTTCTATTATTAATAAAACTCTCCCCAAGACATATTGATGCACTAGTGCAGTTAATCCCCCTGGCCCAGCCTTTTGTCTGCTGCCTTTGAGGGACTTAATGGCCTCAGCGCATCTTTACATGATTAGCTTACAGGCTTAATCATGCAATGTAACCATCTTCCCAAGGCTCTTGGATTTTAAGTGAATCACCTGCTGCTTATTTATTTAATATACTTCTACAGTTAGGGCTCTTATCATTCATTTTTAAAATATTCTTAGTAATTTTATCCTCTGTGAGAAATATCTTTATCCAGTGTTTGTGATAATCAATTTAATGTCAGAGGGTATGTTTTTCTTATTATCAAATTAGTCTAAATTCTGGTTCCTAAATTAAGTTGTTTTCTCCTTTGTTGGTAGATAAATCATTCATCATGTGAAAACGTTTTAGCTATTATTTCTCTTGCTATTGGGGGAGTAACTGAAGGTAAGTATGGTTTGGTTTGGTTTTAAAATAATCCTGGACATGACATGCTGTATTGAAAACATATTCTCCCCATACCTCTCTACCTAGTTGATTTTGTTCATTTTTCAAATTCTGCCTACCTATCCCCCTTGCCAAGAAGTCCCACTGAAATTAACTCACAGTTGTTTCTTGTCACAAGTATACAGTGCACACTGACATTCTTTGTTCTCCACTTCCTTCGTTCATCCAGTGCCTATTTATTGAGCATCTACTGTGTGCCTGGTACTGAGCTAGGACTTGGAGATTCAGTAGTGAATAAAACATATTCCCTGCCTATAAGGAACCTAGTGGTTCATGAAGGAAACACATGTAAATATCTTATTGGGGGTAATTGAAGTGGGACTGAAGTGTAGTTGAAGTGGTTCTTTAAACTTCAGAAGCTGAAGGGACCAGGATGGGCTAGAAAGAAAACTGTAACATAGGAGCTGGGGTGTAAGGGCTGTAAAAAAAACTGGAGCAGAATGCTGAGAGGATGATGAGAACCATGAGGATAGAAACAGGAAGGTGATCATTTGTAAAGGGCTTTGTATGCTGTGCTAAAGAGTACCTATGGGAAAGGCATGGGATGGCGAGAAACTGCTGGCAGGAAAACTAGGTAGAGGATGGTTAAGATGGGCCAGGTTTAGTAGGAGGTAGTTTCAGCAGACTTTTAAAAAGGCATGTAGTGAGTACACAGTGACTAATACACAGTAGTAGCTCATTAAATATTTGCATAAAGAAGCAATGAAAAAGTAGTTCATCAGTACTCTTTTGATTAGTTTGGTTAAAATATTCCTTTGATTTATTCATATAGTTTATGTGAAAAGTGTCTTTTAATCTGCAAAGCACTATTTGCATATTTATTATTTTGATACTTATTCCTACAAAAACTGAAACATACCAGGTAAAAGTGATCTTCCAGTGTAGCCACAAGCAATTTTGTGAACTTAAGTAGTTCATAAATTTTGGCTTTAGGAGTTAAACTTATATGAAATGCTTATTCATCATTCATTTATTAAGCATATTCTAACGAGTACTGCAATGCAGTGTTCCTTGCCAGTTCCAGTCAGTTTGCAGCATCTACTTCATTCATTGATTATCCTGATATGATACTCTTGTAAACTGGTAATGTTTTTAATGCTTCAGTCAGTTCAGCTCAATCACTCAGTCATGTCCTACTCTTTGCAACCCCATGGACTGCAGCACGCCAGGCCTCCCTGTCCGTCGCTAACTCCTGGAGTTTGCTCAAACTCATGTCCATTGAGTTGGTGATGCCATCCAACCATCTCATCCTCTGTCGTCCCCTTCTCCTCCTGCCTTCAATCTTTCCCCACATCAGGGTCTTTTCCAATGGCTCTTCAAATTGGTTTTTCCAGTTCTTCGCATCAGGTGGTCAAAGTACTGGAGCTTCAGCTTCAGCATCAGTCCTTCCAATGAATATTCAGGACTGATTTCCTTTAGGATTGACTGGTTGGATCTCCTTACTATCCAAGGGACTCTCAAGAGTCTTTTCCAACACCACAGTTCAAAAGCATCAATTCTTTGGTGCTCAGCTTTCTTTATGGTCCAGCTCTCACATCCATACATGACTACTGGAAAATCCATAGCTTTGACTAGATGGACCTTTGCTGGCAAATGCTTGAAGTTATACAAAGTCTGTGTTTAAAACTTTTACTTTATTTGAGAAAGATAGGGACTTAAGAACTCAGTTGAGCCATGAATAAAAGTTTAAATACCTCTTTATTTTAATTTGATGGGAAAAATTTCTTCTTGAGAGCAATATTATTGTATTGTTTATTATGTGACAGATTTTCAAATTGTCCATAAACATGTTTTGTTAAACTCAACTTGGCAGATATTTATTGAGCTTCTGTTGTGTCAGACTCTCCACTGGTGAGAACCTTCAAAAATGCCTACCTTTAAAAAGCTCATAGTCTACATAACAAAAATAAACAGTTTGGATATGATAAGTACTATAATTTATGTACAGTGTGCTTTCAGAAGCAGAGATGTGGTAGCCTACACAAAAGTACCAGAAGAGTTTTTTAGATGCAGTATGTACTCTATGCTTTGAAAGACTGAGTAGGAATTTACCATGTGATAGAGACGAAGAAGCCTATTTAGGCAGAAGACATTGTAAACAAAACTATGCAGACTTGAACATAGCAAGATGTTGGGAACTCAGGAGGGGGTGTCTGTGGCTAAGGTTAAGATGAAGCTCAGAGGGCAGCATAGAGGCTGGGACACAGGTTGTGACAGTGTTGGGAAATCATGTTATCACCCAGCTCATCAGAATCACCAGTGAATCTCCATTTTAAATGAGCCTACCGGGCTTTCACTCAGTTTCATTGAATCTTTGAGAGTGGAATCTAGGTAATTTTCTTAAGTTCTGTAATTATTAAATGTGTGTTATTTTGCCAAATTATACTTCAACTAAGGGCAGGGAGTATGCACTCTAATCTCTTGGGTATACAGGACACAAAGTATCACAAATCTAAGTGTTATAAAGGACTTTGGAGGTCATCCGGTTCAGTCTTGTCTCTGGCCTGGCCTGTCTCCTCTCGGTAACATCCTGGGCAGGGGGTCATCCTCTGCTCCCGTTGATGAAGCTCACCATTTGATTTCTGTTAGCTGGTTCTGATGATCAGATTTCCGTTGCATTGAGTTGAACTTTGCTGCTTTATGCCTCACTGGTTCTAGACAGTATCCCTCATACTACATTCCAGCTATGATCTTTCCAGTGCAGCACAGAGCTGGAAATACTGCTTCCGGTTTCTGAACCACTGTGTGAATGCAGTGTTAGGGGCTAATAGTGCCCCTAGATACTTTTTTACATACCATGCTGAAATAGCTACTTTTCCTAAACCCTTAACAAGTATTGGTATCTATTACCTAAAAATAGAAAGAAGAATGATCAGGGGGATGAAAGCATTTTTAACTAGCCTAGATGACCTTCATTTTTAACTAGCCTAGATGACCTTGAAGTCTTTAGTTTATTGCTTTAGTAAGATTGAATTTAGACATAACTTTTTATTTGACCAATTTTTCCTTTGAAACGACAGTATTATTTTAAAAGTATAGTAAGAACTGAAATTAGTATCAAACCTTTTTGTTATCTTTTTTGAACTAGATCTTTTCAAATGACCAAGACAATTTAAATTTAGCATTATTAGAGAACATTTGGAAATGAGGAAAGGGGAAAATAGTAGTCCCAGTTCTTCTACTTTAAAAAACTACCATTTATTTTGGTATATGATTTTAGTTTCTCTAGTCTTTTTAATAGATTTTATTGTTATAACCATAATATCCATACAGTTTTGAACTCTGCCTTTTTCACTTGACATTATATCATAAGCATTTTCCAAGTTATTATAGTCATCATAACCATCATTTTTAATTGGCTGCATTATATTCTTTTGAATAGCTTAGTGGTGAAGAAAATAGACTGTGGAGCCAGACTGCCTGGGTTCATATCCCAGCTCTACTGCTTACTGGCTCTATGATCTTGAGCAAGTTATTTAACTTCTCTGTGTCTCAGTTTTCCCACTCTGTAAACTGGAGATAATGTTTTCTACCTCATAGGGTTATGAGAATTACACATATTAGTGTATATGAAGCACTGACATATAGTAAATGCTCTAGAAGGGTTATAAGGGTGATTATCATCACATACCAAAACTTAAATGAACTTAAGTATATCCTGCTTGGGGACTTGTAGGTTGCTTCTGTTTCTTGCCTTTCACAGCCTTGTTAGGATTGACAAAGTGTACCTTTAAGATTATCTTCAAAATTTTTTACATGAGCTCTTTTACTCAGCCGTATTTTAAACTTTTAAATTGGCTTGTGCTCCACTTGAAGGTATTTGTACGGCATCTACACCTTTTGTATTGTTGGGAGATGTTTTGGACTGTCTTCCTTTGGATCAGTGTGACACAATATTCACTTTTGTGGAAAGAAATGTTGCTACTTGGAAATCGGTAAGTGCCTTAGTTTCTTTTTCCACTAACTTTAGCTTTCTATAGATCTAGAGTTCTGGGGGTAGTTTGTTTTGTTTCTTACTTTTATTTCTGACTGCTGATTGCTAAAAAGTTTGTCTTTATGAGAATTATAAAGACAAACTTGGAAAAGCCAAGTAAGAGTCACATGGAGAAAAAAATGACAGTACAAAATTTGAGTAGAAACAGTTACCTTGAAAACACACACTTTTACATGTTTTAAAAGTTACTTAGAATCGTATTTGTTGTATGTTTGAAAATATTTCATTAAAAATGTTATTTGCTTGGAAAAAGTGAAAGTGACATAGTAGATTCTCAGCACATACTAGTGTTCTGTAAAATCTTACTTCCTATGACTTACTATTGAAGAATGTGCACCAACTTCAGAACAATAGTAATAATTTCTGTCTTTAATTTCAGAATACATTCTATTCTGCTGGGAAAAATTATTTACTACGTATGTGCAATGGTAAGTAACTCATCAGTAAATGATTGGTTTTTAAGAAGGAAATATGGCCGGGAAACCAGGTTGTTGAATTAAACACAGGTTATAAATTTTTTTTTAAGTAGACTGTATCTTCATTTTAAAATAGCAGTCTGATTTATTAAAACTGATCATTTGCTTTAAATTTATCTATTCCTGTTCTAAGCATAAACTTAATGAAAACCAAAAAGTTGAATAAAGTTTATCTTGCTCATGTTAAACTCTTTATTTTTAATTTTCTAGTCCTTTTTTTGTGACAGAAAATAGTTTCTACCCCCATTTTGAGAACTACTGCTTTAGGAAAATACTTTTGAACTGGTTAAGACACTTGGGTATATTGTAATAAATATAGAATGATCTCTTCTGTGTAACCTTTGTCTCCATTTCCATTTGTTGTTAGATCTCCTACGAAGATTATCAAAATCCCAGAATACAGTCTTCTGTGGACGAATTCAGCTCTTTTTGGCCAGGCTTTTCCCTTTATCTGAGAAATCAGGTGAGCTTTTGTACATAAATTGCTTTGCAGGAAAATTTTTACCTGTTTTTCATCGACTGGAATATACCATGATGATTAAAAAAAAAAAAAAAAGATTCTAAAAAGTTGAAAGATAGCATAGGAAATTGTCGCTTGATTTTCTTTTACTTGTAAATAGCTGTACCTGTTCCAGTGTATAATACAGGTAACACTCAAATAAAGCCATTGATTCTTCAAGTTCAAAGCTTATTAATAATAATGTACAGTTGAATCACACTGAAATATGTAGCCATGAATCATGTTTTTATTTCATTTCTTAATACTTACCAGTTTTTCTGCTTCCATTTTCTTCTTTAGTCACTACTGTTTAGTCACATTTACTTTTGTTTGTTTCTTTTATCATTGTGAAATATAACAGTAGAATGAAAGTGCATAAATAAGTATATAGTATAATAATTATGAAGCAAATAGTTGGGTAACCACTGTTCGGTTCCAAAAGTGAAGCATGGCAGTGTCCTCGAGCCCTCCACAGTCTGTTCCGATATGCCAGATTTTAACTGTCTATCTGCCTCAGTCACCCCTTCCTTAATATCAGCTAATCTACCACCTACTTCACATGTTGTTGTAAGGATTAAATGAGTTAAAATATGGAAGAGCTTACAACAGTGCCTGCTTATGTTAAGACCTATAGTGTGTGTTAGCAGTGGCAAAATTACCTGTGACTTTCTTTTTGTCCTGCTGTATCTCTGCTTTTTTTCTTTCCTCTTATTTAAATGTGGTCAGGATTAATTTCAATTTACCATTGTATTTACAACTTGTATTTCTGATCCTCTATCTGTGACTATTAGTCTTTAGACTTTAGTGCAAATTTTGTTTTGTCTGAAAAATCTTTATTTCTTTACTCTTGAAGAATGGTTGAAGATTAGATAGAGTGGTTGAAGTATAGAACTTGTAGGTTGGCACTGGATATAGGATTTCATTTAGTGGAAGGTCATCATTACTTTGCCTTTGTCTTCTAGAGAGGAGTCAGATGTGAGTCTAACTCCTTTGAAGATAGTCTAGTTTTGTTTTGTTTTTTTCTCTGGTCTTGAAATTTTCTTTTTCTTTTAATTTTTGTTTGTGGGGTTTTTGGTTTTTCAGTTTTATATAATGTATCTAAGCATGGATTTTTAAAATTTATCATTCTTCAGATTTGTGGGCATCTTGAGTTTATGTATTGGTTGTCCTTCATCCACTTTGTAAAAATGTAAGCTGCTATTTCTTCAGATATTGTGTATGCTGCTTTCTCTTTATGGAACTCTAGTTAACATTCTATACCTCGTCTGTCTCTTACACTTGCTGCATTTTTCATCTCTGTCTCTTTCCTTCACATTCTGTATGATTTCTTTAGAAATGTTTTCTAGTTTACTACTTCTCTGTTCATCTATGAATAATCTGCTGAAAATGAGTTCTTAATTTCAGTAACTGTACATTTCATTTCTAGAAAGTCTTTTTTTCAGTCTGCTGTGTCACTTTTTAGTTTCTTACTCCCTGCTATTCTCAAACTTGTTTTTTAATTGTCTCACCAGGGTGAGCGTTGTCACTTTATTTATGTGTCTGATAACGCCAGTGTCTTAAGTCTTTGTGGCTCTTTCTCACTCACTCTTGTGCCTGTTTCTCACTCATGGTGTCTTACCTCTTTCGTGTTTCTGGTTAGCGTTTGATGTTATGTTTGAGAAGATATTAGAAAGAATAATTTGGAGGCCTGGGTTAGATACCTTTCTCCAGAGAGAGCTTTCATGACCTGCCAGGCACCCTAGAAGGTGCTACGACTAGTGTAAGCTTACCTTCATCTAGCCCAACTCAGGGTCTGTGATTGCTTAGGTCATCGAGAAGACTTGGCGCTGGGCTGCAGTTTGGTTCATCCCTACTTGAGGACGTAACCCTGTGCGTCCCAGCCTAGAAGATGGTTGGGGTAGGATTTATTAGATTCTGCACCTTCCTTAGATTTGTTTTTAACATCCTTACTTCAGGAAGCTGCTAAAGAGTGGCTCAGTTTTGCAACTGATTCTTCCTGTTTGACAGACGCAAAGGCTTTGAGTGCTGACACTGCATTGCTTATCTTTCTTCCTGCCTTGGTTTTTTGCCATATATTCCTCACTGAACGTTAGCTCTTTACAGTTTTTACAAAAAAACAATTTTTCTATTTCATTGTTTAAAACAATGCTGTGAACAGGGTTTATACTCTAAGAATTTATAGAATTAATTGATCCAAGTTTGTAGCTGTCCTTAGTGAGAGGATTAATCTGAATTGTTAATTAGCTAGTTAATTATTAGCCTTCTGTTACTGGAAGCTCAACTTTTTATATTTTTTAACAGCTTTACTGAGATGTGAATTCACATACCATATAGTTCTCCATTGAAAATATGCGATTTTCTGTTTTCTTAGTATATTCACAGGGTTGTGCAGTCATCACCGCAGCTGATTTCAGAACATTTCTCCTCCCGTAGGAGCCCTGTGCCCTCTAACTGTCACTCTGCACTTACCCCCATCCCTGCCCTCTCTCCCAGGCCCCGAAGAATAGATGCATCTACTTACTCATCTCTGGATTTTTCCTATTCTAGACATTTAAAAAAATGGAATAATACAGTATGTGGTCTTTTGTGACAAGCTTTTTTAACTTAACATCTTCAAGATTCATCTGTGATGTATGTATCAGTAGTTAATTCCTTTTTACAACTGAAGGATATTCTCTGTGTGGATAGACTGCAGTTTGTTTATCCATTTTTCAGTTAATGGACATTTGAGTTGCTTCTGCTTTTTGGCTATTGTGAATAATGCTGCTGTGAACATTTGTGTACAAGTTTTGTGTGGATGTATGTTTTCACTTCTCTTGGGCATATACATAGAATGGAATTGATGGGTCATATGGTAACTGTTTTAATTTCTCCTGGAGGTATATCTAAGAGTAGAATTACTGGATCACGTGGTAACTCTATGTTTAAGATCTTGACGAGCCACTAGACTGTTTTCCAAAGTGGCTGCTTCATTTTACAGTCTTATCATTGATGCAAGTGTCTCCCAGTTTCCAAACATCCTTACTAACATAAGCTAGGTTGGCATTTCGGGATACCTTCTTGTAGTACTTTTTCTTTTCTTGTGTTTGTAGATGCTGAAGAGTCAGTAGACTATATCCCAAGACCTTTAGAAAGCTGTTTTAGCATGTAGTTTATCCATTAAATTTAGTTAAGTGTAACTGAAATTTTTAACCCGATGGAGAATTATGTCATGTGCTGTTGAGTAATAGAGAATAGACAAAGATGTTCTAAGTAATTAATACAGATGGTGAGCCAAGTTCATTCACTAGCTTAATGACTTCATCTAGCATACTAGTTTTTCTTTTTTTTAAAAAAAAAAAAGCTTTTTGTTTTAAAATAGTTTTAGACTTAAAGTCTAGAGTATATGTATATGTAAAGATACTATAAAGTACCTGAATAGCTTCACCTAATGTTAACTTCTTACATACTATATGCATTTATCAAAACTGAGAAATCAGCATTGGTGCAGTACTTTATTTAGACCGTATCAGTGTTATCACTGCTTTCTTTTTTGTTTAAGGATCCAGTGCAGGATCCTGCATTTAGTTGTGATTTCATTTTAATCTCTCCAGTCAGTGACAGTTCCTCAGCCTTTGCAGTTTTTTTCATGACCATGATAGTTCTGAAGAGTCCTGGTCAGGTATTTTGTAGAATGCCCTTCAATTTATGTTTGTCTGGTGTTTTTCATAGTTAGATTGCAATTGTGGATTTGCGGAAGGAGACCGCAGAGGTGATGTGCTTTTCTCAGTGCATTGTTTCAGCATGGTGTTGATGTGTCTTTTTACTGGGGATATTATCTTTGATCACCTAATTAAGAGGGTATCCTTGATCACCATATTTCTCTGCTACAAAGCTACTATTTTCCCCTTTGTAATTAATAAATATTTGGAGGGAGATACTTTGAGGCTATGCAAATATTCTTTTTCTCTTTAGATCTTTGCCCACTGAGTTGAGTAGCATTCATCAGTGGATCTTGCTTATAGCAATTATTATTAGGTTTCCTGGTGGTGATTTTCTGTCTCTTTCATACCTTCTACATTTATGGATTGGAATTCTCCTCTAAAGAAGACTTGTCTCTGGAATTCCTTGACGGACCAGTGGTTGGGACGCTGAGTTTTCACTGCTGAGCGCCCAGGTTTGATCCCTGGTCAGAGAACTAAGATTCCCACAAGCCATACAATGCAGCAAAAAAAAAAAAAACGAAAAGCAATTGTGTCTTCCCCCTTGTTTACTTATCAGTTCAATCATCTATTTCAAAATGAAACTCATGAATATTTATTTTATTTGAATTATAATCTCAATATCATTATTTGTTCAAATTGTTCAAGTTCTCCCCATTGGGTTCTCTTTCATGCATTTCTGATATAAAAGGATAGTCCAGATGCATCATGTATTTTTCCTTCTCAGCCACTTCTCCAAAGAGCCTGATTTGTCTTATTTTTAAAATCGTATTTAAAAGACAAGATCTGGGCCCTAGATACGCTAATTGTTACTAGAATATCATTGCTTCTAAGCCATCTCAGTGCACAGAGCTTGGAAAGATATGTATAAATACTAACATATACATATGCATCGTTATTGCTGTTATCTGTCTACATTTTTTTTAAATGACCAAAAACAATACAGTGATATCATAGTGACTGATAACTTGTGAGTCTAATCTCGCACCAATAGACCTGCTTATTTCTAACTTCTTTCCCTGACAGAAACACAGCTCTCACTATAACTTTTTTTATAAACATCATTACACATTTATACTATCTGAGTAATACAATTTCTGATTGTGCTTCAGCAAAGTCATAAATTAGTACATAAAGCATTCTGTAAAATTGTTCTAGAATATTCATAAATAACAGATCAACTATATCTGTATTAGTATGTATAGAATTCTGCGTACTCTAAAAGCACCTTCAAGAAATGAATTTTAGAAAGAATTTGAAAATCAAGTGTGATATTATTTCTGACTTGATCTTTTGCTTAATTAGTTATTTATCATTTTATATATTTTAGTTACATGACAACAAAGTTGTATTCTTAAACTGGTTCAGGTATTTGGGTTTGCTTTGAAAATCTTTTTTTTTTTTTAATAGGTCTTAACTTGCAGAGTCAGTTTAATCTGGAAAATGTCACTGTTTTCAATACCAATGAGCAGGAGAGCACACTGGGTCAGAAGGTGAGGCTGATGTGAAATCAACAGAACACATTTTAAGTTGTTCCGGAGGTAACTCGCACTGCCCACGTAGTACAGTGGTAGAGGAGACATGGATTCAGTCCCTGGGTTGCGAGGATCCCCTGGAGAAGGAAATAACAACCCACTCCTGTATTCTTGCCTAGAAAATTCAATGGACAGAGGAGCATGGCAGGCTATACAGTCCATGGGGTCACAAAGAGTCGGACCCGACTGAGCATACCTGGCACTGAAAACAGTCCAGAGATGGGAAATTGTTGGACATTCGTTACCTGCTCTTCATTTAGGAGCAAGTTATAAAGTTTAAAAATTGTTTAATTAGATATAACTAATATTTCACATTAAATTAATCAGAATAGTTTACTTAATTTATTCCTTTAATTGTAATCATTGTCAATTTGGAAATGATACTGACTTTAAGATTTTTCCTTTCCCCTTTGTGTATCTTTTAGATATTTCTTGGACTAGTCTATGTAAACTAGTTGTTTAAAAATTTTCAATATAGAGCTGGACACCAAGCATATCCTAAAGTGTTCCCAGATAAAAAGTGTTATGTGTATGAGTAGGGGAAGATTTTCAGAGTTCAGTGAAAGTTGGGGACAAAAACTACTTAAATTCCCTTTGAGAGTTAGTTACTGTGATTCATGGAGTCCTTAGTGTACTAATGAACTTCTCACTTCTCACAAAAGATCATTGTGTACTATATTTCCAAATCATGTTTTGCCATAGGTTCTCTATTCGTGGAGAGAATCTACTGACCATATTTGGAAAAGTATTGGTTTAAAACTTTACACTGTATCTTCATGATTATCTTATTGTCATACTGCTCTTGAGTTCTTGGATCCCTGTCATGTAGAATTCTCTTCTGCCTGACAACTGCTTTATGACCAGATGTACATTTTTTAAAATTTAGCACACAGAGGACAGAGAAGAAGGAATGGATGTAGAAGAAGGTGAAATGGGAGATGATGAAGCTCCAACAACTTGGTGAGTGTTTAAAAGTTCAGATTTCTTGGTTTACACAGAAAATACCTTAATGATTTACCAAGTACTGAGGTAGTACAGAGAGGAAGGAGGTAGGAGAATGTAGACAAGGAGGAAGGAAATAATGCTTATAGATTCCTTTTATTTGTAACTTTATGTATATGTCTTAAAATTTTAACTCCTAAATCATTAATGGACTGAATCAGTTGGTTTCTAAATTGTGTGCAGGCAGTTTGTTGTTTCAGTGTAGCCGACCTTACACAGATGCGTAACATTTGAAAAGCCAACCGCAGGCAGCTAGCTCCTCCCTTTCTCCCTCTCACAGCATGGCTTTGAGATCATGGTGCTGTATGGATCACTAAACCTACTTCCTGTTTCCCGTAAAAAACTACAGTGTTTCTTGGAATATGTGTATGGACATGAAGCTTAGCAAAGATGCTAACTGCAATCCATAGGTTCAACTTTTTAAGGTTTAGTTCAGAAAGAGTGGAATAAGCTAGTATGCAATTATGTTTACAGACAATTAGTTTTAAGTGGTGATGTGGAAATATTTTTGTAGATATTGGAGGATATGAAATAGTTGATACCACAACCATTTTTAACGGGATTTGCTGATATAAAGTCTAAGTGTCTGTTTTAAAATCAAAAGTTGAAATAGTTTATAGCATAATGATTGCTTGCAAAATTAAAAATTAAAAGAATATGTGTTCACACTGAAGATTTGTAATGTATCCAGATTGAACTAGTAGTGCCATTTTTGTAATCCTAAATTGATATGTACCTAATGTGTTTATTCCCTACTAGGTCTCCCTAGCTTAGTGTGTTGGTTGGGGTATAGCACCTTTGACTTTTTAACATTAGAGTCAAATGAACATTAGTTTAAACCACATAGAAATTAATTCTTTCTGACGTAAAAGTCTGAAGACAGGTGCTTCAGGGCTGACACAGTAGCCCTCTTGAGGGAGATCGTCTGGGGACCCGGGTTCCTTCTGACTTCTTAGTCCACTGTCCCTGGGTATTTGCTCTTTTTCCTGTAGTCTTGGATGGTTCATCATCACATCTGCCTTCCAGCCAGGGAAAAGGGAAAATGGTGAAAAATGGCCCACAAAGGACATGTGACTCCCACTCCCAGCTGATTGGGCAGAATCTAATCACATGGCCACATCTGGTGCAAGAGAGGTTGGGAACATAGCCTTAAATTCTGAATGTATCCAGCCAAAATTCAGGGGTTCCACTACTGAAGATAAAGATGGAATAAGGGTCTGAGAACCCCTGAAATTATTTATAGTAAAGTTTATATAAGTATTTATGAATTTGTATTCTTTTCTGGGGAAAGAGGCCATGGCTTTCATTAGCTTTCTAAAAGGATTTGTGCCCCAAGGAAAATTAAAGCATTTAGATATTTCTAAAATGACTTAAATGATTTATTTAATGTAACATTTGTTTTATCAGCTCCATTCCAATTGATTACAACCTGTACCGAAAATTTTGGTCACTTCAGGATTACTTTAGGAACCCTGTGCAATGCTATGAGAAAATCTCATGGAAAACTTTTCTCAAGGTGAGTTGCCATTGCAAAGTACCAAGAGCCCATTATTTTATAGCTAATGGCAGTCAGAACTTGACTCTTGTTCAGCATACTTTTCTCTATTTAGTTCTTCTGCCTGTTATGTTTTCATACCTGTTTCATAATGTAGATGGTAAGCTGTAGAATAATATGTAAACAATTGATTTTGAGAGTAGTTTATAAATTATTTGAGGATTTAAAGGTTAGTAGTTAACAGCTTTGGTTTTTTATATTGGTTTGATTTTTTACATAGTATTGCCAGCATGCATTGATGAACTGTTTGCAGACTACATTCTGCCTTTATTTTGCACAGAATTATTTTGTCTATCCTGTTAGAACAGGACTCTGCAGACTATGGTCTTGTACCACATCCAGCCTAATGCCTGCTTTTGTAAATAAAGTTAATACAGTATTGGCAAACAGCCACACCAACGATTGACATATTATCTGTGATTGTTTTTGTGCTATAATGGCAGACTTTTGTAGTTGTAATTGAGACCATTTGATGAGTCATATGGTCTAAAATATTTGCTGCCTGACTTTTTGCAGGAAAAATTTGCCAACTTCTTTTTTTTTTTTTTTTTTCCCAAAGAATGCTCTGTATTTCTTTTCTTGTACTTAAAGGTCAGTTTGTCCTTTTTGTTGTAGTCAGAATCTAAAGTTAATAAGTATAGCTTTTAAAAGGAGAATGGTGTGTATTCTGTTACTTTTTAAAGTTTTATGTGCAATAAAGTTTTTATTTTATATGCAGTACTTTTTCTTTTCCACATAACTGTCCAAATTGAGATTAAATAGCAAGTGAGAAATCACTTGGGATTGTCCCTCAACTGGATAGGGTTTGACATCCTGTTTTTATTTGGTCACTGTCTTTAGCACAGAAAAGGCTTGAGAGTTCCCACTGCTGATTAGACAGCTAATTTTACTGTCAAATTTCTTTATTCTCTCAAAACATTCCCTTCTCTGTTTTCTCCTTACACAAACTACTTAAGAAATCACATATCTTCAGAAGTAGAGAGCTTATTCCTAGTTTTAGAGTAACCATAAAATCTCACACAGAATAGTTTTATCCTATTTTGATGTCATAATTTTTCTTCGTTAATGTGCCTTCAGAATGCATATATGGTTAACTGGGAATAAATTGTAGATTATTTTGATATAGTGAAGCACTAAGCAAGTGATTGGGCAACAGTGCCAAATAAAACTAATTAGCATTTTTATTTTGCAGTATTCTGAAGAAGTCCTAGCTGTTTTTAAGAGTTATAAATTAGATGATACTCAGGCCTCAAGGAAAAAGATGGAAGAATTGAAAACAGGAGGAGAGCATGTATATTTTGCAAAATTTTTAACAAGTGAAAAGGTATGAATCTCCGTTTTTCATGAAGCACAGTAAGAAATTTTTTTTTTTTAATTTAGCTGATAGCCTTGTAAGTTAAATACAGTAGAAAAGTTTCTGACTTAATTTTTTGTTAAAACTGATAAATGTTACTTTGAGAGTCCTGTTTTTTCTTTTATAAGTAAGACTGATTTCAAAGGTAAACGAAATTGTTCTGCATTGTCTGTTTTGTAAATTTACTTTAGGATAAGTGGGTTTTAGTTACTTTCAAGTACATATATTTGAACCTTAAGTTAGGATTTAATTTGCATTTATGAAAATATTTTGTAATTAGTTTGCCATTTAGGTACAAACAAGGGGTTTTAAAATTCCCTGCTAATTTTATTTATACAGTTTAAGAAGTAAGTGTTTTTCATTTACAGTGCTAAGGGATTATGTAAATTCCTAGTCAGGATGGCACATTGAGTTTGTTTCAGCTCACTGCTTTTGCTCCAAACACATAGCAGTGATAGGTAAAATATAAAAAGAGAAAACCACAAAGACAAAGCTGGGCTTCCTTATCCAGAGCTGGATAAATCTCTTCACGGACCCAAACTGCCAAGTAGTAACTGTGAAGAAAGCCTTGGGCCTCCTGGATTCTATATTCCAAGTAGGTGGTGGCACCCAAGAGTTTGGCTATAAGTGAGACCAGGTGGGTTCCATGTGGGATGAGCAGCCAGAGCCACTTTCACCTGCTTGAAGCCAGAGACTGGGGTAGAAATTAACCCACTTTTGAAAAGAAGCTAAGACAGATATTACCGTTCTTCTGCCAAAGGCTGTCCTTCCATTCAAAACTGTGATGAATTCCGAAATCCAGTGCTAAGAAAGATCACCAACAAAATCAACTATTGATGTATATGTTCCAAAACTTTATGTTTTGGATAATCAAAGAGATCACTGACAATGGAACATCCTTTGAGAATAGGAAATTGTGAAACTGAAAAATTGGAGCAGAAATGAAATAGAGCAGTTTAATATGACAGCTAATGGAGAGTCTTGAAAATGAAAAATCTGATCATTGAAAGCACAGCACATAGAATTAAACAACAGATTGGACACAGGTGACAAGAGGAACGAGTGATGAAAAGTTCACCTAAAATACAGCACAAAGAGATAGGCTTTTTTGCTAACCTGAAAGCAGTTAGAAGCCATGGAAGATAGACTGAGAAATTCCAGCATATATTTAAGGAGAATTTCCAAAGAACAGAAGGGAGAGAATGGTGGAAAAACCAGGGGACTGAAGGAAGTCCCAAGTTCTCACATTGAAAGCATGCTGCAGCTGCCAAGCAGGATAAAGAAAGATGAATCCATATTTCAGTACATTATGCTGTTACCTACAAGTATAAAGAGAAAACCTTAAATAGGCCACCAAAGAGGGGAGGGGAAAAAAAACCCCACAAATATACTGGAACAGACTCCTAACAGATATCAACAATAGGTACCAGAAAACAGGGGAGAAATATTTCTGCTGAGGAAAAAAACAACAAAAAAAAACTTAGCTAGAATAGTGTCTCCTTTACTGACTCTTTGTGAGCATTTTCACCAGTGCAGACAGCGTGAGCTTTCAGGGTTAAGCATTGGAATCCCATTAGGTAGTATGACAGAGGTAAAAGCAGCTTTTAGAAGCTTAAAACTTTATAGTACGGAAAGAAAAAAAGGCACAGAGAATTGCAGCAAAGAATGTAAGGCATGATGTTTTGCATTTTTACTTCCATTTGTTGCCTCTTAAGCAGCAAGTTTAATCTTAAATTTCAACATAGAACCCTTCTTGTGCAATCTTCATATTTTTCCCATGTATTTCCAGCATAAAATGCAGGCATCGATGAACCTTTAGAGTTTTACTAACTGCAGTTTGTTCGAAGACTGTTGCTGACACTCATGCCAGTTTTAACGTATGAGTGTGCTTCCACTCATCTGAGAAGCCAAACACAATTACTAAACCTTTTATCAGTACATGAAATAAAACCAACCTGAAATGGTCCTCAAGGTGGAAGGCCTGAGCTGCCGTTTTTCTTCTAACACTCTACTCTTTGGGTCTAATGCAGGGCAGCCCCATGAGTATCAGTGAACATAGTGGAAAGTTTAGGACATACTCATCATTCTTTCTTGTTTTTAGAATCCCTTCTGTGTATGAGTCAAGCCATAGTTATGCAAACAAGATAAGAGAGTAAATTCTTTGGGGCTGCCAAGCAGCCATGTAGGAAAGACTAAAGATAGGGTTAAAAAAAGAAAAATACCCTGCCAGTGTAGGCTCTGGATCTGGAGCCTAATTCTAAAAGAATTGGCAGAGATGACTGGTTAATTGATAAAAAGATAAGAGTAAAGCTGGAATGAGAAATGACCCATCGTGGCTGTTATTAGCCAGAGTAATAGAAATTAATAATAACTGTAGCAAAAGAACCATTAAAAATGTTAGCTCCTCTAGAAATGAGAGCACTACATAGTCAGGATTTACACAAAAACATAAGTCAGTATATTTATAAATGCTGATAGACATTTGAAAAGAAATGCTCAAAAAAAAGAAAAGAAATGTTTACGAGGGCAGTCACTGCCACTTAAACAACTTCCCAGGATTATGTAGGAACTTGGTGATCCCTTTAAATAATTTAAGAAAGAACTGTAGTACACTTGAGAGAGGTTATGTTTTCCTTGAAATCTCTCAAGATACACCGTTGATCAGTTTTATACAGTATACTCGTTTTTTTAATTGAAAAATAGGCAGCTCCTGCAGCAATACTACTTGTGTATCAGAAAGACTGCTATCCAATCCCTGTTCCCTGACAGACAAGTCAGTGGGCTTTCACAAAAAAGAAAAGGCTAATCAATCAACAGAAAAAAATTATTATTAAAATTGACATTATTTTTATCAAATTATTAGGCAAACTGGAGATTATCTACAAGCACTTTTATCTAAAGTAAAGGAAACATTCTAAACTAGCTCAGATAAGGCAGGTAGAAGCCCACATCGCCAAAGGTCCAAGAGAAAATCATAGATTACATGCTAGATTGCTGTTGGTTGGTTTTCCAGGGAATAGTGGTTTCCTTTTAAAGAGATTTGTGTTTTATAGAGTTTTGCATTTTATAATCTTACCCTTCTAGTTTCCTTGCAGTGCACAGCTAAGCTTTGTAATTCCATTGGTTTGCATTAAGAAGCAATAAAAATAGATCTAAGAAACTTTAAACTTATGTGGAAAAGAGAACACAAGAGAATTTAACAACTGGAATATAGAGCAAGTGCATAATAATTTGCAACCACGGAGGATGTATATAACTAAAAACTGATCAAAAAAGTTGAAGTATTAGGGTGGAAAGAGACATACCAGGCAAATACCAACAAAAAGAAAGCTACATAAATACAAATAAAATTTAAGGCAAAAAACGTTAAGTAGGATGAAGGAATGCATATTAAAGGAATGAGCCCCCAAGAAGGTATCGTACACTTACCTGCACTTAATAATATACCCTCAAAATATATCAGAAAAAACTTCAAATATGAGAAGTTGGCAGGTCCACAGTTACAGTGGGATATTTTAAGTGCCTTCATCAAAAACTGATGGGTTGAACAAACTAAAGATAGTAGGTATATGGAAGATTGTAGCAGTAATGAACTTGAGTACCTGATGGTTCAGGCAAACCAAGATTAACAGGTATATGATAGTTTCGCAAAATAAAAAAATAATCCTGATGTATATATGGAAACTTGTACACAACAAGTAGAGATAATGTCTTGAGTACACATTGAATGTTCACAGAATTTGTGTACCAGGTCATAAAGGAAGTCTCAGCGTATTTCAGAGATTTACTGTTGTACGGAATACACACAATCTCTGTCCACAAGGCAGTTAATTAGAACTATGAAAAGGATAGTTTTAAAAGATATAAATGTATGGAAACATGGAAAGCATTCTCCAGGAATTAAAGAGGAAGTCACAATGGAAATTCTAAGTTTGTTATAAATATGTTATACAGCAAATTGAAAGTATTTTATGTCGTATGTGGGTCACAAAGAGGTAAAAATATTACTTGAGATGCACTAATGAAAAATTTAAGAATGACTAGCTGAGAATTTAATAAGCTCAAAAAGATACAGAATAAGCCTTGAGAGAAATAGATAATAGCGCAAATTAATGAAACATAAGAAGCTACAGAACATACCAAAACCAAAAGCTTGAAAAGAAAAATTTTATAAAAAGAATTTTTGTAACAGTTCTAATAGAACAAGCCTGACCAAGGAAAAAATGAAAAGGTACCAATAAATTTATTGTTAGCAATAAAAATAGGAGTAATTGGAAGTCAAGAGACAATAAAATGTGTAAGAGACTATATTCTGAACTGCTGTATTTTTAGATCTAATGAAATAGTAATTTTGTAGAATAATTAATTGCCCAAATGGATTCACAAAGAAATTAAAAACCGGAATAAACATACAACACGGAAGTAATAACCAAAGTGACACCTTTCAGATTACATCAGGCCTGTATTTTTTTAGGTAGATATTATCAGTACCTCAAGGAATAAAAGAAAAGCAACCTAGGTTCTTATATAAGATTAATGTAACTTTTTTTTAATGTAACTTTTAAGTGAAATCACGATAAGGATAGAACAAGAGAAAAAATGTATATATCAATTTCACTTATGAATAGAGATGAAAAATATATTGTGAAAGCTAATCAACTGTAGTTATTTTTAAAAAATAAAGACTAAACAATAACTAATACTTATTACAAAAACAAATCAGAAGGGAATTCAAAAGAATTCTCAGTAATTTCAAGAACAAGACACGGATGTCTACAAATCATATTTCTGTTCCGTGCTGTAATGGAGGACGTAGTCATTTCAGTAAGAGAAAACAAAAGAAATGAGAGTTGAATGCCTCAGAGAGAAAAGACTGCACTGTTTGTATTTGAAGGCAATATAATGTCTACAAAGAAAATCTGAGAGAACCAACAGACTGTTTGAATTGAGGAAGCTTCAGCAAAGTTACA